AGATGCTCATGGATGAGGTTTAATGGATGGCTTGCTACAAATGGCCCAGGACACAGAATCGAGGATGGCCAAAGGCTCTTGTAAGCCTAGGACTAGGGAGGGTGGCCAGGAGGCGAGGAGGTTGGGAGGGCTGTCTTTGGCCCTCTTGGACTTTTCCTGTGTAGGCAGTGGAGTCCTTGCAGTGCTGAGGCCCTCCATATGATTGGAGCAAGGGGATTTCAACAGCAATCTTAAAAAATATCTTAAATGCCGATACGCTGTATTTTGGTCTAGTGGCATCCATTTAGGGAAGCCAGGGAACACCCCAAACACTCACATGCCCGCCACACATTTTCTTTTTGGCCGAGGCAGGCCTGGCTTTGTACAGGGGATTTAGGCTTTTGGAGTGACAGGCTCTGAATCCTGTGTCTTCTGTGATTGGGAGAGCCCAAGTCTCCAGGGCGGTGGGGAGAAGCAGTGCTTTGCTGTGAGGTCTGGAGGCCTGGGAGGAGGCCTGGGAGGAGCTGGTGCTTCCTCTGGTGGGGGGATGCTGAGAGAGAGAAGCCAGGCTTGGCTGGGTGCTGAGAGGCTCCTGGGAGAGGGTGTCATCTCTGGTGGAGGGAATGGATTCTTCTACTGGCCTGCATCCTCGTATGGCAAAGCAGAAAACCTGGGCTGGAGTCCATACCAAGGAAGAGAAATCTCCTGACACTGACAGTCAGGTATTTAAGCTCCAAAGGAATGTGAATTCTTTTTCCCTGTCCCCTGTTTTGCTCTACAAATGCTTCAGGTAATAAATAAAATGGATTCACATATCTTCACTGTGCACCAGATACTATTAAAGTTCTCGTCCACATTTGAAAGAAGCCATGGTCTCATACACAGTTCATGGTACGCTCCCTGGAAGCCCTGGGTTCAGGTCCTACCACTGACACGACAAGGATCTGCTTTCTCCAGTGTGATACCCCTGCTTTTCAGCACATACCTGACCTTGAGGTTTGTACCCAGCTGCAGCTGTAAGGTTAGGCGGTCATTAGACCTTGGTGCCATGTCGGTGCAGTCTCTGGGACTGTTCTTTTTCCTCCTTCATGGTCTTTTTTTTTAAATGGTAAAAATTGTTAGCATTTCTGTGTTTGTGAATTCCTTGATGCAAGAGACCCTGCCTTGACTATGTGTATGTAGCATTTGAATCGCGCACACACACGATTTGATGGATAAATTAGAAAAATATGACAGTATGCTAAGGCGGTGTGCTGGATAGCTTTAGTGCCAACTTGACACATCTGGGTTGAGGGAGCCTCAATGGGGGAATTTCCTCCATTGGACTGGACTGTGGCCATGTCTGAGGGGCATCTTCTTGATTATTGAGTGATGTGGGAAGGCCCAGCCCCCTGTGGGTGGTGCCACCCCTTGGCTGGGCTTTCATTGTATAAGAAAGCAAGTTGAGCAGGGGCTAGGGGAGCAAGCCAGTAAGCAGTGCTCCTCCATGGCTTGTGCTCCAGCTCCTGCCTCCAGGTTCCTGCCCTGAGTTCCTACCTTGGGCTCCCTGATGAACTGTGACCTGGGAAATGTAAGACAAATAAACCCTTTCCTCTCCAAGTTGGTTTTGGTCAGTGTTTTGTCACAGCAATTGAGGGATAACTAAGATAGATGGTCTCCTGGTAATGTCAAGATTTTAATTAAAAAATTTATGTGTGAGTGTATTGCCTACAAGTGCATCTGTCATGCAATGCCTGCAGAGGTTAGAAGAGGGGAACTAGAGTTACGGACACTTGTAAGCCACCATGTGGGTGCTGGGAACTGAACCCAGGTCCCTCTGCAGGAGCAGCCAGTGCTCTTAACCTCTGAGCCTGTTTAATTTTTAATGATGTCAAGTTCACTAATGTTCACACATTTCCTCCTGTTTGTTGCTAATAAAGCAGAGCACTTTACTAATGAAGGATGTTAGCGCAGGCGTGGGCATTGGCATTCTGACCCCAAGTTCCACTCTCACAGATGAGCTGTGCAGCCTTGGGGGCACCCCCCCCCCCAACTGGATGAGTCTACACGTTCTAATAGATGTTTCCTGTCTGGCTTCAACTGGGGAATGGCTGGTGGTTCTTGGGTTTTACACAAGAGAACTGCTTTACTACACGATGGGTAAGATGGCCTTGGCCTTTGAATGATGACATGCCTGAAGGACCCTGCACTTGCCTATCACTCTGATGGTGGGAATCACGTGATTGAGGTAGAAACCACTGGTGGTGGTCAGATGTTTGCAAATATCTTTAAAAATAAAATAAAGTGTCTGTGGAGATGGCTCAGTGGTTAAGAACACTGGCTGCTCTTGAAGAGGACCTGGGTTCAGTTCCTAGCATCCACATGGCAGCTAACAACTGTCAGTAACTCCAGCTCCCTCTTCTGACCTCAGGCATTGCATGACATGGGTGTACTTAGATAAATGCGGGCAATACACTCATGCACATAAAATTACAAAAAAACAATTAAAAAATAAAATATAGGCTCAGGAGATGGCTCTGGGGTGAAGTGCTTGCCACACAAACACAAGGACTGGAGGTTGGCTCCCTAGGACCCAGTTCAATGCTGGCTGGACATGATGGCCCGTCTATAATGCCAGCACTAGGGAGGCAGAGATGAGATCCCTGGAGCAAACTGGCTGATGACTGAGGCATTTGGGTTCAAGTGACAGATCCTGCCTGCCTCAACAGGTAAGGTGGAAAGTGACAGAGGAAGATACCCAGCATCAACTCCTGGCCTCCATAGGCCCCCACATACATGCTCACCCACACATGCATACATGCACACCACACTGAGGCAATAAAATGAATTACCCAGCTGGTTTCCTAGACTGAAGTCTCTTGCAGAAGAGACGACCTGACTCCTTATGCCACGTTTACAGCTGTGAACTTAATAGAGGCCCGGAAATTTTTTGTGTCAAGACCTTAGGAAATGCCTGGCCTTCTGGGCCATCTGCACCTTGCTTAGACACAGCCTTTGTAGGGCCCCGAAAAAAGGCCTGGAAGCATCTGTTAGAGGACACTATTTTCCTTCTGGAACTTTTGAAGAGAAGTCTGAAACAGTGCATCTGTGTTGAGTATGGTGTGAAGAGCTGTCAGGTGGGTCAACTGTGTAAATACTCCATCACATCAGATTCTTGTCACCCAGGAGAGGTAGCAAGTCCAGGAAAATTCAACTTTAAATATTCATGGTGATTATATAGGACTCACAACCATGGCTCCTCCGGAATTAACCTGCTCAGCCCTCCGAAGAATGCTCCCAGTTGGGTGTTACCTTCATCTCCATCATAAAAGTGGAAAATGAGATGGCCAGGAAGGAGAGGAGCTTGGCAAGTGTGTCTCCCTGCTCAGACCCACCTCTTCCTCCTGATGCCACCCCAGTAGTAGCAAGGGCTGGCCACCAGGAATCCTCTGCGCCTTGGGAAAATACCCTGTAAATTAACTGTCAGAGGCACTGGCTGGGTGCTCCAGGGAACAATTTTTTGGGGGTCTTTTAAAAAATATTTATTTTTATGTGTATGAATGTATTGCCTGCATGTATGTGAGTGCATCCATGTCCTGCAATGCGGTGGAGGTCCGAAGAGGCTGTCGGGTCCCCTGGAACTGGAGTTTAGGATGGCTCATAGCCTCCATGTGGGTACTGGGAATCGAACCCGGGTCCTCTGCAAGAGTAGTCAGTGCTCTTTAACCTCTGAGCCATCTCTCCAAGCCCCTTTTGTGTCTTCTGAAGATTTTTAATTTTTGTGTATATATGTGTACCATGTATGTGCAGGTGCCTTCGGAGGCGATTGTGAACCACCTGATGTGGGTGCTGAGAACCGAACAGGGGTCCTCTGCAGGAGCAGTAACCATCTCCCTAGCCCCTTGCTTGTTTTCTAGGAAGCAAATCTATTCTTGTTAGGGGGTTCCAGATCTCAAAGAAACCGTAGTTGTTGAACCAGGATCTGTTGTTCCAGGGCATGAACTACACGACCCTCCCGCCTCAGCCTCGGGAGTGCTTTTCAAACAAGTCCCTGAGTTTCATCCTCCAGGCTACACTTGGTGAGGCCTCAGATGACCCCTGGTTCCAGGGAGCTGGTGGTTGCTGCGCGGGCTGGTCCGCTCCGCGCGGCCGATCCACCCCGGCCTTTGAGCCTGGCCGCCGCGCTCGCCGCCGCCGCCGCGCCGCGCTCCCGGGACCTGGCCTC